AGTTATTAAAAGTATCCATGCGAACTAGATAATAGTACGTGTGCATGTATAATATACATGATGTACATCATTGTGATTTGTAATTTAAATATATTTCAGGCTATGCCATGTGCTTTAGCAAATTATAGTGAAAAAAATTTTTAATGTGCAAAAAAAAGAGTTTTTCTTGCGAAGCTGTTAAGTCAAAATTGATTACATGAAATTTAACAAAAAAAAAAAAAAATAACGCGATTAAGGTAAATTTATTAAAATTCTTTAGTAATGCTCGTTTAAATGTTTTCATGTCTGAGGATTACAATCCGTCTATAAATGGTGAATGATCATAAAAAAATAGCAATTTATCAAGTGCTAAGGATAATTTTAGCCTTCAAATCTTGATATGTACCTTATTGCCATTCACATTTCAATTTGTAACCCGCCGTTCTCATATATTAAAAAACCTGACTCGACTGTTAGAACAAGGAAATTAATGATTTTTACACGATGCTGTGTGAAGTCGTTGATAAAGTTGGTTATCGTTAAATTGGAGAGAAGATCGCAGTTTTCATTCTGGTGTTGCTTTTTGTAATTGGTTATTAATTGTGGTGAAGCTTCTATGCTGATTCTTGACACCTTTGGAGTCAATGCGTTCTTAAAGAAATATTAATCATTAAAGTTTTTCCTTTGGGATGAATTTGAGCGATTTTTTGGGGGATTCTAGAATTTTTTTTAAGGGTTTTTAAATATGACTTTCTTCAAATTTTCTTCGATATAGCTAGTATTTCACTGGATACTCCATTTGCTTTAAATTTGTATTCTACTTGGTGTCTTTATATAAGCGGTGAAATGGCATCAGTAGCCTAAATGGTAGAGCGTTGGCCTTCTGTGCCAAAGGTCCTGGGTTCAATCCCAGGTCATGTCTAATTTTCGAAGCTCTTTTTCCATTTCACCGTTCTAGTTACGAAGCTCTGTTCGTGTGTTGGGTGTAGTATTGAGGTCTTTGGCACATAATGTGCCTCCTTTGCTATGTATACAAGGATATACTAGCATCTGCATGGCTTCCTTACGGCTTCTTGCGCACACGAATTGTGATTAGGCCCATTGCAGGGTACATCAGGTCTTATAGATTTGTAAGACTAAAGAGTATGGCACAATAGATTCTTTACAAATTAAATCACAGTGCCTCCAGCTGAAAGACTGGGTCCTTCACATATTATTATTATTATTATTGGTGTCTTTATGACCAGTTGAATGAATTATTTTCAAGGTTGAATTTGCCACCAAAAACCTTTGAAGTTCAGGAAAACCATACAGGTAAGTTTTGAAATCTGATGAAAATCACATAATTCAAAATCGCAAATATCCAGGATTAATTGTAAGATGTTCTGTGATTTATGAGTATATTTAAATAAAAAAAAAAAAACATGCTTATAAGCATGTAGATTGTAATTTTGCAATGATTGATATCATCTCGCTTTAACCATTAGAGAATCTATTGAAATTTTTTAAATTTTCTTACTTTTTCATAATTTTTTCTAGCAATGACAACCGAATGTTGAGTATAAGCAAAAGTTCAGATTAATATTTTAAATTTATTAAATGTTTGTTAAACCATTTCAAAATCATAAAATGTCCATCGATGCTCACTTTCTTACTCAACTTAGTGATTTTATGTACTTGAATGTTTTTATTACTTTTTTATCTCATCTCAGTCCCATCATAATCATAGTGCTAATGACCAACTTAATCATCTCCATTAAAATATGATTGAATAAAATTTCCTCATTAAAAAGGAAGAAGATTTCCTTCATGAATACTTGATTTTGTTATTGCAGCATCTTGAACATGTTTACAACATTGACTACATCAATAAATGAAAGATTTAATCAAACTTAATCATTATACATTGTGTATGTCTTATTCAAATCAATTATTGAATTATTCAACAAGAATATTCTCAAAATTGTCAACAAGGTTCGAATCGAATTTATTCAGAAAGAATGTTCAAAACAGAAAAAAAGTAAGAATAGAAAATATTTTAATAAGCTAGCAATCCTCAAAAACCACCTAGAAGCAAAAGGCATTTACAGTTCTGAGAAATTGCTTTATAATTGCCCAATAAACAAGTGTTTTGGCTCCAGCCGAGCTATTTGGTACTGTCTGGTTCATAATTAAATGCCTAATAATAGTTAGAATTGTAAATTTTGTGAAGTTTGAATAAAGATTAGGAAAATTTCTGTAATTGTTGAGGAAAAAGAACTTTTTTTTTTTTGTACTAGGCGAAGAATGATTTTTTTTTTTTGGCGTGTATAATTAAGAAATCAGCAATAGAATTAAATCGAAAATTAACAGTTGTAAGCTTTTGTTAAACTCCTGCAAATCTGATTTGGATTTTTCTTTGCAGATGAACAGAAAATGTTCACACGTGATCGTTGTGTAATGAATAAGTTAATTAAGTTTGATGTGAATAAAGAATCTTTTTGGGTAATTTTTTAAATGGATTAAAAGACAGGTTAAAAGGGAAATTCTTCAGAATTTAGATACAGTTTCTGGATTGCTTTGAATTGGATTTCCATTATGTTGCTTATTCAAAGGCTCTCTACGAAAATTTGGGTCAGTTTTGTTGATGATGAAGCTTAAACTTATGTAACTTAGTTTTGTCTCTCACAAATCAGAAAGGATTTTGATTTCTAGTAGTCAAAGCTTGGAGTCTAAAGCAGTGGTGTTCAACCTTTTTTGTGCAACCCACTTAGTGGTAATCTATGACCAAAACATAGTATATGGTTCATGGAATATCTTATTTTTTTTGCCGCGACACACATGTTGGCCATCACTGGTCTGAAACATTCAAATCAAAAAATCTATAAATCCATTAAAATTCTCCAAGACCTCCAACATCACCAACCAATACGTCCAAAAAGTTCCCAGCTCTTTAAATCGCAGATAAAGCTCTTATGTTTTCCTTCTGCTCATTAATCATGTTCTGCAAAGCTCAACGAAAGCAGTGAGCTTATCATTCACTCATACATCACAGAAGCTATTAAGAAAATCCTAACGGAAATGATTGTAATTACTATTCACATGTTATTTCAATAGAATCTTCATCATAAAATATGTTCACATTTACATCTACAATTATTATTATTCGAAAAGAAGAAGAAGATCATAAGTTGAAAAAGTGTGAAGATTTGGGAGGAATAAAGATAAAGCGCATTCAATGAGATGAACATTAATGAGAATTGCCAGATATAGAGGGATTTCAAGATACAGCACAGAACTCAGATTAAAGCTATTCCAGCAACGATATTAATTTGCTTGAAACTGACGAAAGCAATCTGAAGATAAAGGCACTATCTGACGACCTTATTGTGTGTTGATAAACCAAAAATTCATGTCCTTAGATCAAAATTGATTAATACAACCAACATTGTAAGTTAGTAAGTCTTCCCAAAATGCAGCATACTGGCGCCAACTTACTTAAGACAATCCACCAAAAAAATCACGAAAAGAAGATGCTCTATTCACATAATTTTTGTTTTTCAAAGAGAGAACAAGTAATAAGCCATAAGCAATAAGCGAATGATTTAATTAACTCATCCAATGAGCAAATTGTGAATGAATAAAAAGAAAATTTTTATTCTTTTCTTTTAATTTTCAATTGCCGAGTGATTTTTCATATTTCTTCTCATTCCTTATTCGGCTTGTACTTAGCAGTAGTGAGTATAATTAAACGGAATTAACGATGAAATGAAAAAAGATGGTTTAATTTCTTTATTTTTGGAATAAAAATGCTTTTTTTCGTATCAATTTTTTTTTACTATTACGTGGGGGGTCATTGAACCTTTTTTCGTGGTTTTTATTGGTTTTGTTCAGTTTTCTTGTAAATTGCTTCAATTTACACTAGGTCGTTATAAACATGTTCATATCAACGCACGATGATTTTAGGTGGTAAAAGGTTCAATTTCTTGTAAGGAAATGCAACACGTGATGCTGATCTGAATAAGTTAAAAGTCTGTCACATTAAAATTGCAAACCGTGCCTTTAAATCAGTGGTGTTCAAACTTTTTGAGCTACAGTACACCTTGATAGTAAGCCATGACGAAGACAGAGCATGATGAGCGGTTCGTTTCACTTTCAAAAGATTTCGACGGCACAAAAGTGTACCGCGGCACATAGGTTGGACAACACTGCTCTAAATCAACAATATTTTTTTTAAATTTATATATTATTATATTAATATATTTGAGTTACTAGAGTTCAATTTCTTTTAATCGCGTTGGCTATAGCTTAACATACAGACAATAAAGTATCGATTTCTCATCAGTATTGAGAAACGTGATTGATTCTTTATCAGGTTCATCTTTGATTTAATTTCAATTTTCTTTCACTCGGTTATTCACTTTATTTTTAGATTTCAAACATTTTGAAAAAGGAAAAAGGTGCTGACCGGTACCTAACTCAAATGACACCCCCAACCTCTCTTATATTGTCCACAAGACCGCAAATAAACAAATAATCTATCAAATATCATCTAAAGTCACATAAAATCATATCAAACAACGCTAATGCATGTCATGCCTTCAATTTATAACAGTAATTGTTGTGCATTAAATTTCCATCATTTTATAGACAATTAATAATAATGAAATTTAAATAAATTTTCCTACAATAGTCAATAACAGCAGAACTTGTTTGTTTTTAATAGAATTCATATGTTCTTGTAACTATCAATCTTCGCAACATGCTATATTGAATAAAATTGCATAATTTTCACACATCTCAATCATCACGTTAATGGAAAAGTAAACATGATGCAATTGGTTATGCTTACACGCCTTGCCTGATGTGACTTGTGCAACTTTCTTGTATAAGCTTATTGTGTTGGATGTGATGAGAAACATTTGTGAGGTTCTGAAACTTTTGAGTGGTTCGAATGCAAATAATCTGTTGAATGGATAAACTGTTGAATCCAAGGAGATGATGTATGAAAGTTCCTAATTTTCTCCACGACACTGAAGATCGACAGTCGAGTTTTGTGTTCGAGACAAGAATATTGCACATAACTACATCGCTCCCAATTTTTATTTTATTTCTCGCGAATCAACCATACAATTAACACAAAACCTTTCTTATTTAACTCCGATCATCACCATTCAATCAATTTTAGTGACGATTAGTGCAATATTTATAATTTAATACGAAAAAAAGTATCACCTTAGAAAATCTACATCCAAAAAAAATAGGTAGATTCATAAGAGAGTAAAAAGAAAAGTTATCGTAGTGTTGTGGAAGAAAAAGAAAAAGAAAATAAAAAAATCTTTTATTATGTTCTCTCAACTGATTTATGTTGGCTGCCAATTAAAAAGATAAGGAAGACAATTATAAAGCAGCTAAAAATAAATATTTAAGAAGTTCTTCTTCTTCAACAGTCAAGAAGATAAGTTTTTTTGGCCCCCCAAAAAAAGAAGAAAAAAAAAGTGAAAGAAAAAGTCGACGATGGAAGTGCTTCGGATTGTCATACAAAATTCAATAAATGATGTTATTGTCCATAATCAATTTAAATATCGTGCATGAATAATGTGAGAGTGAAAAAAAAATTTCTTTTTACCTTTTTTTCGACACATATCAATTAGAGTTAATTGAAAGTTAAGCAAAAATTTGCGTTAATCGACTAGCTTCATAGGTTGTAGCACAGATTTTAAGAAAGTATTTTAAACACAAAAAAAATTAATATTTCTTAGAAGAAAAATAACGAAGCAAAATAAAAAACCAATATTTTAATATTCAACACGTATAAGAAAAAAAGAAATAAAACCAGCGAGATATAATAAAGGAGAAGTTGTCAAATAGCAGAAATGAAACCGACGACTTTCAATGGATATTATTCAACAGTTATTACAATTTTACATTTGTGGATTACATTTATAAGCATACAGGTGAGTGTTGACTATATCCTATTAGATTCTTATCAGATGAGTCCAATCGAGAGCCAATTAACTCTCATTTCATATGTAAAATGATTATCTCTGATGATGTTAGTTCGTTATTTTAATACTTAATGACCCTCAACATCATTTGAATAGATTCACCTTGAGCCATCAGTTTAGCAAAAATGATGATGATGAAAAAATTTATAGCTTATTTTTTTGAGATATCTCTTTGTGCTGTGCAACAAATAAATTGTAATCCGAAACATAACAGTACATGTTTGCAGTTTGCTGTTTTTTTAAACCTCACCATAGTCATTTAAATATGCAAATTTACAAATATTGAGTGTGGTGAAGTCAACTAGTTAGCATGACATACAAAAATAAATATTTTAATTCGAGATGGACGGAAATTTGTTGGAAGTTGCTGTCAAATTTTTTTTAGTGGTATTTAAGGAGGTCACTATTGAAACTTACAATTATAAATATATTAAAAAAATTTCTACCTGAGACTAGTTTAAATTTGATCAGATCTTCTTAACCCTCCTTGATATAATGGCTTAATTATTGAATGTTAGAAAATCAGATAGAAATAGATTCAAAATTTGAAAAGCCGTTAAAATTGACACTTTTAGAAACCTTGACTGATGGTATCCAACAGACAAGATCATTCTGCTCTATTTGTCTCTGATCAGTCATCCTCATTATCCAGTTCCTAATCCAGTTATTCCCTCAATTAAAATCCAAAAACAATCAAATACCAATCATCACTATCAAACACACAATTAACGTAAATTCTCACATCCAATAAAAAACAATTGTGCGTATGTCTTTGTGCCTCTATTTGCATATCAAGATCTATTCAGCTATTAACAAATTAAACGGCGATTTTGAAAAGTCTGATAACAAACAAAACAAAACTTCTCAGAAATTTGTAGCTGTATGTGTGTGAAAATGATCGAATTGGAAACACACACACACGCAGAAAAAAGTATTGAAAGAGTAAGAGTCAAAAAGGCATTCCGTACACACATAGCCAGTGCAATGTTTGTGGAATTATTAAACAACAATCCAAAAAACCTGCCTGCTTGCCTGACTATACTGGTTTTGTTAACCATACTCTCTCTGTTGTTTGTATGCGAAAAAAAATATATCAAAAGGTACGAAAACCTGTTTTAAATGTTGTTGGCAGTGCTCTGCATGTATCTCTTAATATTTACTATTTTTGCATACATACATAATCTGTTTTTATGTTCCTTTGTCAGTCACAGCATATCTCTGGATCATAATACATAGTATGCATGCAACCGTGTGTAGTGTAAGCACTTATTCACGTCTAATAAGAAGAAGAAAGAGTCATGAGAGGTTTTAATGTTGTCATAACACTCGTCGTCTATATTTTTTAAACAACACATACGTCTGCACTTCAGACTTAGACTCTTTTATGTTCATTTCTTATGAAACTGAATGACGATGATGAATTGAAGATGAAAAAATAAAAATTGCAATAAAACGTTTAAAAAGGTTAGAGGTTCCATAAACGGGAGTTGGTGCTGTAAAAGAGCTACAAATGCTGAGTGATTGAGAAAGGAAATAAAGCTAAAGCTGTCTAGATTTTGTGTCGCAAGAAAAATTATGAATTTGATGGAAATGGATCAAAATCTTTTAGGTCAACTGAGTCTCGACTCAAGGGGAACACAGCATTATGAGAAAATTTTTGTTCAGAAATTTTCATCGATTTCTCCTCGATATTTTGACAGAAATTTAGTAAGAACTTTTATATCAAATATGTTCCCCATTATGGTGTATTCCCCTCGTCTCAGCTATCACAAATCGTTTATAATATTTTGGCGCGAATCCAATGTTGCTGCTAATTCAATAAATTTCCTTTTTTTTTTGTTGTATCAAATTAGAAAGCATTTTGGAGACAATTTATGAGGTTGTGGATTTATTTGTGATTCTATGTTTGTGGGAGGAAGTTCTTGTAGATTTTGAATCTTTTTAATGTAATTTTGGTAATTGAGAAATTGTAGGAATGAGACAAAGTCTCGATTGTGGCAAATCGACATGATTCATTGTGAATTCAACTGGAAAATGCAGGAATTAAAGTTTGAACATTATCAAAACTTACTTTTTAACCCCTAAAACCACAAAATGTCAACCCTTTGCCTACAATTCATCCTGTAACTCTCAGCTATAAAATTGCAGTATCGTACATTTTTACAAAACATGGATTCAATCCATTTAACTCAAGTCACCTAACTCAATTCCATTTTCTGACTCTCTAATCACAAACAGTTCAGTCAAGAATGTCTCTAGTGCATTTCAACTTAAATAAAAATCTGTGCACAATGCACCTTATCCTTGTAAACACATTAATGGAAGCAGCAACAAAGAGCTGCTCATTCGAATGTATTCAGTGCGATATTAAAGTAAGAAGGGTTGGAAGTTCTACGCTGCAACATAAATGCAGACATAACAACCATACATGTATGATGCAATGTCTCAGGAGAGTCAATTATTTCAATGATTCAGATTGTCTGCAGTGTGCGACCCTCAAAATATTTTTTTACTCATTTCTATGAACTCATTATTTTCAAATCTACTACGCCCTACACATATGACTTGCAGCCGATACAACCACTGCCGTTAGTTTATAAAACAAAATAAAAATATCAAGTCTAATGTCTCTTTTTTTATTGAAGCAAATTATTTTTTTTTATTTCTCTGTAACATGACACAATCATTTACGCACCGTAATGTGTCACACTTGCGAGATTAATTTTTATGCATTACGCATACAGTCAACAATTGTTTGAAGAAAAAAAAAGTGTGACATGACCTTTAACATTAATATTCGTCACATGCAAGAGAATTTTTTGTGCTCACGTTTATTTACGAAATGGAACTTGGAAAATAAAAATAAAAATATATTTAAAACTGGTTTTAAAGTTTTGTTTTTAATTTTCTGACACGAACGGCAAGGTTGGTCCATTTTGGTTGATATAGTGTCAATTTTCAAATTTTGATGATCCAGGTTATTAGAAACTCATTTTTTGGGACGACTTCATCAATTTTTAATCAAGTTTTGGTTGTTGCTAGCTAGCGAGAGATGCACTAATATGCCAAGCTATCTCCTCTTAGCTCAAAGTGTAGTGTCAGCCATACCGCTGATTTAACAATATTTGGATATTGTTGATCTAGAATCAATTGTATATTAAGAGCTTTTGTGTGATTTTGTACCCCATCTTTTTTAATTTGCCTCTGATTCCCTGCTACTTCTGCTACAGCTTTTCGATTTCCTAACTTTTGGACATTGTAAGTCAATGAACAATCCCCCACTCAATCCTTAATATTCTTGACATTTCCTAGTACTCAAAATCCCAATTTAACAAAGGATTAATTCAGTAACACAATATTTCAATATTAAGTAAAATTCCTCAAACAAATTCCACAGAAATGAAAAATCTTCAAAGAATCAAATTACAAACTTAACCCACCTTGCCTCAAACTACTCATTCCCATTGAATCAACACAACAAAAAAATACCCATTTCCATTGGCAATTTTAATACTGTTGGATTAAATGTTCATTCTTTTAAACACACAAACATCAAAGTAAATTTAAGATTGTATTTAATCACTTTTGACAGTCATTGATGATGCTGGTGATGCTATTTGTAGCTGTTAATCATCAACGGGTCGTAAAAAATATCTTTGCAAAAAATATAGTTTCAATTAGCAAATTAAAATGATTTAACAATTTGTAAAAATGAATGTAAAGAAGAGGCAAATTATGAGACATAAAAGATATTTATAGCCGGTATTGTATAATTGGATCTTCTTCTTAGCTTGTTTAAAAGTCTGAGAATATTCGCATTTTTATGTGTACGGAATTTTTAAAAATAATTTATCCTTATGACTTAATATAAAAATATAAATACAGGAAAAGAGAATATTAGCGAACGGTAAATGCACCTTTTTTTTTGATAGAGGTTAATGCCTTAATCTTGGAATGATGACAATAAAATCTTGTTATTTCTCTTGTTAAGGAGCTTAGTAAGGACAAAAAAATATTATTTCAGATGAAATTTTATTTGCTTGTTTGAAGACAATCGCTGATTGTTGGAAGGATTTGTGCGTTTGAGTGTGCGAAGATTTATTTTCATAAAATCTGAGTCAGGACTGTGGTTAGAGTTGGAAATGACTTGGCAAATAATTAATTTAAGAATCTTTTAATTGTTCTTTAACTTTGAACTTAGGAATCAGGGTTGCGATACAGGCACCTGTGTACAGGTGAGAACCGAACAATTCCTTGATAATTTGTGAGGTTTTATTGGAATTTGTATGGTTTTGTTAGGAAAACCTTATAAATTATCAATGAATTGTACGGTTCTCACATTTGCACAGGTGCCTGTATCGCAACCCTGCTTTGGATTGACTATTCACATGATTTACAGTTCTTCTTAGATGTTAATAAAACACGAAGAGTATATAGATTAAATAGGAACAGTATTATCTCTCTTCTGATTTAAACTCTCCAGTAACTGAGCTTGAACTAATCGAAAATGTGCACAGCCTTTGCACTGAAGTTTAAGGAACTTTAAAAATGTTTTTAACACCCCATTGTTAGATTTTTTGAGACGAATGCCTTAGTCGACTCTCTTCTTGATAACTAGCACACGTATTTTAACCTTTAGTCCATAAGTCTACCTCCAACTATAGCTATAGTGCGTCACAACTTAAAATTTTGTCCATCAAACTCTCTCCCACTCACAAAATAACATTCGACCTGATTTCCTCGCAAATTCTTTACGAAATCAAAAGTCTGTTTAATGTTTTTGCAAAATATGTCACCCAGGCCGATGAGATAAGTTTAATTAGTAACAGATTTGAGTCTAACGTAAATATTTGGAATGATTCCAATAAAAAATCAACATAAAACTCTTTATCATTCTTTTTGAACGTAAAAAAATAATATTGTGAGAACATAACATCTGTTAAGCAATT